TGAATCCTTTACATCGTCGTTGTTTCGCTTGGCGGCCACGTCGAGTCATTTGGACACTGTTCCTCTCAAGAGCTCTCCAAACATCTCCCCTCTGTGGACTCTAAGTGGGTACAGAAGTGGCCCTCTCCAGTCGAGATAAGCATTTCTCTTCTCCACCTCCTCCTTCCCCCTCCTCCCTCTTTTCCTCTCCTCTCCCGCCCTGTGTCACCCTGCCCCTCTTACCCTCTCGCCCGCTCACCCCCTTCGCCCCGGGACAATAGCTCACTTTCAAAGAAAAGCACGAAAAAAAGGGATCTTGCCGGCGTGGTGCAGAACTGCCTGTTTGTGAAGAGAATCTCCGAAAAGCAGCAACCTCATAAATCACACTCGAGTAGAATAGCCATTGTTTTTCCAAGCACCACTTTTTCACCTTTGTGTCTTTTTCCTGCCTCTTCAACTCTTCACCAACCATTAACCGAGACACTAGCTCAAGTCAAAGGTGGGATTTTTATTACTTTTCTTTTTTTTTTTTTTCTTTTTGCAAATTTAGTGCCTTTTTGAAGACTATTTCCTCGCCAAATTCCTTCTTTTTCCCAAGCCAACCAAGCAGCTCTGTATTTTACGTGCAACCCCCAACTTGGTTTTCAAGCAGGATACCCTAAGCTCGGATAAGCATAATCTATCACTATGCACATTGTAACTCAGACCCCCCCTTTTTACTGGTTTTCCATTGCATTGTCTTCACGAAATCCGATTAAATTCGACGCCATTTGACTCCTTTTGGATGTTAGCATACGAAATAACAAAACGCTTGCGAAACAGATAGTCATTGTTTGCCGAAAAATGGACAAACTGTTTATATTTTTTTAACGCACTACTCCGTCAGTCCTGGAATTCGAATATTGTTGAGATTGGCAGTAAAATGTTCCACAGTCTTGCATAAAACTGCATCATGCTCTATCTGTTTTGATTGCGATGCCGTATTAATGAGCTTTTGGAGAACTGCTTCACTTCTCTCTCCGTTCACCGCGCTGATGTGTCAGCAATCAAGAGCATATTATCATAATTAGATCACTGGCAATGCTTAAGGATTACACAAATCTGCCAGCACCGTTTTACAAGCCACTTTATTACTTACCTAAAATTACCCAAGGTCTTTTCTTGTCTATCTTGTTCATTTCCTGGTTTGAAAAGGGAGTTTCTTGCACACAAATATTCACAGGCCAATGGAGGCTGCATGAATTAGCCATGAGGCCGAAGGACTTGAACTAGATTCAAGCTTTTAGTGAGGCTTCTACAGGAACAGGCGTTTAAGACGGGAAAGCATTTTTAGACCCAAGAGTCCTGTGGGTTGTACTGGTAGAGATTGGATAGCGATTTTTATTTATTTTTTCATGTTCTTTTTTCTAAGATCACAGAAGTAAAATGTGTTTTTTTTATGATTTGGCATAGATTTTTCTTTTAAAACAACTATTTATTCCATTGTTTGATGTGTCTAGATCATTCAACTGATCCTCATTAGGCCCTCCATTACTAGAAGACTGTAGTTTGATTCCTGCTCCAAGTTTCCATTTCATTTTCCTAAATTGTGTATCCTTAGAACTAAATAAACTTTTCTATGTTAGTTTTTAAAACAATTTGGTTAATTTCACGGCAATAACCATTAAGTAGAGGAATCTAATCTTAAGTTTACTCTATTAATTGCTGCATTGATTCAAAGTACTCAGTCCTATTTGCTTTAAGAACAGTTACAGTGTCTTAACTGTTCTTTATTACAAACACAAATACACTTTGTAGAGATTACTACGCCTTTGAATGGGATTACACCAGAGAAACCAACACAATAGCACATCAGAGTCCCTGGCTTAACAGCATCAGCTCTTATCAGAGACTGTGGAGCCTGATACACCACTGACCCAGGTTATCTGACTCTGCCTTTTACTGTTATGGTCCAACGCTTTGGGGTAATTGCCGGTGGTTGCTAGAGGAGCTTAAATTGTAAACATATTGTTAATTCAAAATATCAAGCCTACGGTAAAGTCAAATGCCATCTAAAATTCATTAAGCATCATAAATAAATGTACAGATTGAATTTCATTAATGCATTATACAGTTAATGTAAATAAATAACCACGCAAATACTAAATTGGGCATGGCATCTTATTAATATTAACAGCAGGAAAAAATATGAATACATAAACTACATTAAATCACATTCTGTAGTATAAAATAAGTCTTACATTGACATTTTTATGATTTTGAAACCAATGTAATGAAAAATTCTTCAAATAAACGCACGTCTTCCCACCTTTGGTCATTTCTGGATTGTGTCTTTTACCGTCTGGACTAAGTCGTTGAAATCGCTCCCAAAACCACATTCGATACAGCATAGGTCATACCGCCATCGAGCCACCGCCAAGTTCAGAAAGGTGATCTCTCTGCGTTACCAATGTCTCTTATCTGCTCCATTATAATCTACACTTCACAGTTGGCCCCTGACTGAAACCCAACCCAAAACAGCGGGCCATGTTCACTTTCCCCTACGCAGTTCTCAAGTGCGCCCTAATGATACGTTTGGGTGTAACAAATCCGCCAGTCCTCACCCAATTTGAGGGAAGACTCAGTCCAAAAACATGCTCTTTGGTGGGGCAGTGTTGAAAGACAAGCAGCCTGGTAATTTCAAGTTGTATATTTTTGTGAGAGGGAGAGAGGGACGGAGAACTTTGAAATGTGAAATCAAGTTGTGAGGTCTGGAAGTTTATCTCGAAGGAAGGCAAGTTGGAGAAAGGAGTTTTCACATGCTGGGAATTCATTTGGGGAAAGACTTTAAAGGATCGTCAACATTGTTCGAGTTCGTTAGCTCGACCGAGTATGGAGTGAATAATGTACTGTAAAGCGCTTTGGGTGTCTGGAAAGGCGCTATATAAATCCAATGTATTATTATAATGGAAGTTCTGGGGTATTTCTTGAGTTCATGATCCTTAAAATTGAGCCTGAGTGGCAAAATTTTATCTTAATTGTTTTAAGTATTTTTATGATAACTGTTGATGTAACAATAACCGAAATATTGTGATATCATATCGTCAAAGTTCTCACAATAATATCATGGACCATCACAGTATATCCAATTACAAGTCTCTTTGCTTAAATTAAGAGTTCTGGTGCAGCAACAGCTAAAAAAAAGACAGAGGGAACTACATCGACCATGATCCTAACAGTTCTAAGCACTTTTAAGTCTTAGTTCTTTGGATTAAGTTTTGTCAAGGTGTTTTAAGAGAAAAAAGTAGCGTATTTACATTTTTGTTTGCCTCCACAAAATATCAAAATAAATATCGTACCGTGAGATGTATATCATGAAAATATCGTACAGAGAGATTTGGATATTGTTACATCCCTAATTGTGATCTTCCCCTCCATATCGTGAGCTTTCCCATGATATCGCAATAAATATCGTACCGTGAGCTTCATATTGTGACAATATCGTATCGTGAGACTTGGATATCTTTACACCCCTAACAATAACATGAATATAATGTCGCAAACAGGTATTACTGCAATTTGTAAAAGATTTTCACATAATTAATAAAAAAACTTCAGAATGTTGTGCAAAAATATCGATATATCGTGATACTAACTTTGGTGATTCTGCTTGTATATATATATATTTTTTTTGGTATCTTTTAACAATAGTGCAAGGAGACTTGTTTTTGCGATACATTTGGCGTATTTGCTGTTTCAATGATTAAAATATATGTATTTCATGTTAACTTTGCACAAGTAGTGGTTTAATATTATTGCAAATATATTCGTATCGAATCATGACGGACCCTGTGATTCCCAGCCCTAATGTTCGCCCACTTTTGCCAACAAATAAACTACAGCACAGTCCCATCTAACCATATTCTAAAGTCCTGATTTGTCTTTGTAACTTCAACAATATCATTTTCCGCAAACCGAGTGACCAAGATTTTTACAAACGCTTTTCACGCAGGCTCCATTCCTTATCAAGTCTCACTATATATTTCCACAACCCCAGTCCCTCCATCAAACTTAGATTATACTGCAGTCAGAAAGTCAAATCTGTGGTCTCTCCCTGGTCCGTCTGCTGTGTGTCAGGACAGAGATATAGTTTGAGTGATTGAGCGTGTTGACGTTGGACCACAGCCCGCACTAATAGCCTTTTGAGCCCCGCCGTAATAAGGCTAAACAGGCCTAGTGAGTCATTGATTACAGAACCCAGCACAGTCCATCAAACTGATTACATTATGCAAAGGCCATACCCTCCTGCTAACCTCCTATTCACGGACTGCTGCTTCCTGTTCTATGCAACGTTTTAAGGACTTTCGAAAGATATAATATTTAGTTTGAGATGCTTAATCGCTGTAGCAACAGTTCTAACTAACATCATTCTGAAACCCATGGATAGGTTGGTTCATGTTCTAGAGTTAGATGATGTTCTAATTTTAGATGGATGGCTGAGGACTATATAACTGTGGGAGAAACTGTTTTTGAAAGAAATATTCAAACTCATGACAATTCAAAAGATATAATATTTAGTTTGAGATGGTTAATCGCTGTGGCAATGGGCGAACTATTCATAATTGTGAAACCCATGGATAGGCTGGTTGATGTTCTAGAGTTTGATGATGTTCTGGTTTCAGATGGAGGGCAGAGGTTTATAAAACTGTGGGAGAATCACTGTTTTTGAAAGAAATATTCAAACTTGTGATCCACAAATATTGAACTATGTAATTGAATTGGCTGCACAAACTTTGCCCCACAAAATAATATTTATCTTATAAGAAAGGCACAACTTGCTGAAGCCATTGTGAAAAAAAGTTAACATTTTTTCTGTGTCTGGATAGAGAAGAAATTTAACTTTGTGACAGTTTTTGTTTCATGTAAATAGGCCCAGTGCTTAGAGATATTAACCATAAACCAGGTCAACAAATCTACAATCTAACAGAAAATTCCTGAAGTGATGTCAACACCAACCAAATATGTGTTTCTTTTTCTTGCAGAGAGCTGATGCCCAAGACTTTAGAGGGCCAGATCACCATGGAGAAGACCCCCAGCTACTTCGTCACTAGGGAAGCTCCGGCCCGGATCTCCGCCATGTCCCGGGACACCAAACTGATCGTGGTGGTCCGGGACCCCGTGACCAGAGCCATCTCAGACTACACGCAGACTCTGTCCAAAAAGCCAGACATCCCTTCTTTCGAGAGCCTCACCTTCAAAAACAGGACTACGGGCCTGATCGATACCTCCTGGAGCGCCGTGCAGATCGGGATTTACGCCAAGCACCTGGACAACTGGCTGCAGCACTTCCCCATGGAGCAGCTGCTGTTCGTGAGCGGGGAGAGGCTGATCAGCGACCCGGCCGGAGAGCTGGGCCGCGTGCAGGACTTTCTGGGACTCAAACGCATCATAACAGACAAACACTTTTACTTTAACCAGACCAAGGGCTTCCCATGTCTGAAGAAGGCCGAGGGCAGCAGCAAGCCCCACTGCCTGGGCAAGACCAAAGGGCGCACCCACCCCAACATAGACCCCGAGGTGGTGCAGAGGCTACGAGACTTCTACAGACCCTTCAACCTCAAGTTCTATCAGATGACGGGGCAGAATTTTGGTTGGGATTGATGTGAAATCACCGGACTACTTTTTTTTATTTTTTTCTGTTAAACCATGGCAAAATGTGGAAATATTGCTATATATATGTAAAATGTACAGAAATCTATTTTATAATAATTTATTTTTTATTTCTAAGCAATTAATTCACTAAGCTGCCTAACCATATTTGTACATAACATCCGGCCCTTGTGTCTTGTTTTGAAACATTCCTCCATTTTGTATTGTTATATGTCGTGGTCCTCTCTTGTTGTCCTGTCAACTCAGTGAATTAAATGGTGCTTTTAAAAATGCAGATAATCGGCGCAGACTGAAGGTATAATGTAAAGCATCATATTACGGGTACGGAGCGCCCTCAGAGGAGTCCATGTATGTGCGTTTTGACTTGATCATATCCTCATCACATTACGCTAAGTGCATCTTTCAAAGCATTTCACATCTACACCGCTTCCCATCTGCCCCTCACAACCAGCGTCCACGTCCGTCCACTCAATCGCGGGTCGATCAATAACCCTAATTGATCTCCATTGTGTCACTTCTGTTTAAAGTACACAGCGGCCCTCTCATTCTAAGTGCTCCGACTGCTCGCTCCAATGAACCGCCCATCCATCATGCTCCGAATCCTATCCGCGTCCCCGTACGAATCGTGTTGGCGCTGTACTAATCTCATAAAGGTAACTGGCTGATCGATACCGTCCCGTTCGCTAACTCCCCATTAGGTCTATAACGCTGGCTCAGATCCAGGCTCCTGCCCTTTCTCCGGAGTTCAAAGGTCACGCAAAGTCAGAATCAAATTTTACTGATAGCCATTTCATTTAGTGCAGGTATTTAAAGCCGGTTTCGTTTAATCTAATTCCACCACGGATGTCTTCTCGTCCTGGGAGGGCAGATAAGAAATTCCCTTAAAGGCCTGCTTTGGTGAACTACACTAGAATCTGTTTTATCTGTTGCAGAGGTCTGTCTTTGCAGTACCTTTTCATGGCAGACTGCAGATGCTTAGAACCCCATCAACCACAAGGAGCAGGGTTCCCACGGTCATGGAAATCCTGGAAAAGTCATGGAAATTGAATACGTAATTTTCCAGGCCTAGAAATGTCATCGAAATTTGTAGTTACAGTGAAAGTTTTGGAAATGTCATTGAATTTTAGTGTATCTTTCACTGAACTACAGCGTTCTGTTTGATTATTTACGAACATCGGCGCCTTATTTTTAAAAGAGACGACAATAAATGCACTGACAAGATTTTGAATGTTAAAAAACTATAATACCAAACCATAAGGTGAGTGGAAAGGGTTAACATTTCATAATTAACCTTAAACGTCTGATCAATTCTAAAAGTTATGGAAATGTTTTGAAATTTTGTCAGTGAAAAAGAGTGGGAACCCTATAGGAGGTCCTTACAAAAAATAATTACTTAAACTACTCCAGCTTTGTAAATTTATTGTCAAATATATATTGAATTGAAAATATCAGAAGTTTTAGAAATAAAGGGTCCCCAAAATAATCTTGCATTGCGCCCAAAAAAAAGCTGGAAACGGCCCTGGTTCTATTCTAATTTTTGCATCACAACCAAACAACAAATACAATCGCTACAACTGCAATTGGAATTTTTATTTATCTATTTTTTTTTTGTCTTCTACATTCAATACTTGTTTTAATATATCGGAGCTTATTACAAATGCAGGCTTATAAGGGATTTGGAGAAATGCAGTGGTCTGTCTGTCAGTTGTCATGATTAAAGATAAGCTTACATTCATGGTTATTGGAAATTTCACTTCCTTTTGCCGTACCATCCTCCACCGTCATACTTAATGCCTTATTGCCTGTCACGACACCACATCTCATCAACCTCTTTTACATCTCAAACCTTTACGTGTTGCCAAAAACTCCTGGTTCATCCACATGACAAACTCTGTATGTTTTGTATTCACTCATGCATCGCTTCGTTGTGTGTTGTTATCTTTCTACTTGAATTCTTGATATGCAAGACAGAGAAAACGCATAGTTATCCAGATTTGTTAAAAGGGCGCTACATTGAGCTATGCATCTCTATTTGGGATCATGGAAAGGGATTTTTTTTAATAGGTGGTTTTTGATTGAATGTACACCATTGCTACCACAAATCACTGTTTTTAGTTCAAGTTCTTTTTTTAATATTGGAAAATGTTGTGCCTCTTTCACCGTTCAGCCAAACACCTTCACACAGTCAGCCATTTTGTTGTTGTTTTCAAGTTGGAACCATTGACTGGGTTAACCTCAAAACCAATGTGTGAGATTTGGGGTAATGGGGGCTTGGCGCATTGTACGTCTTGTTAGTTTTGTAGCCGAAAGCCTCCATCGCCTCTTATATTGACCTTATTTCAAACTTTGCATGGGCCCCGCCGTCGTCATTTTTCGGGTTGCGTTATTTTGCATGGGGCTGCTGATTTCAACCATAGACTGTATAAAGAAGTGGACTAAGTGAGCGTGATGCCATAGTGTTTTGTTCCAGTCAAATGAAGCTCATAGAGGCCTGCAGTTATGAAACTTGGCTCCACATTCGCTCCAGATTAAGAATAGGAATTAATTTATGGATAAAATAGCAAAATAAAAACACCATGATCATTTTGGGTCAATACGAACATTTGAAGACCGAAATGAGGAGTCTGACAGTAGCAGTTACAGAGAGAGGGATGACTCAATTCCAAGAGTCAATGGACCCCGAAGTGCACCCATGCTCACTTCCTATTTGGAGTGGTTACCTATGTCCATTTATATTTTCAGTCTATGATCTCAACAAATCAGCAAGTTGCTAATGCATTGATGACTTGTTGGTGCACATGAACATTGGGACATTTTAGCACAAACCAACTTATTTTACATAATATTTTAGGAGCGAAACTTCAAATTCAACTCAAATTCTCCATTGGAATTAATGGGATTCCCCTTTAACCCGATGTGCGTAAGTGGGTGGGGCGGAATAAGGTCAATACTTTAGTGCAATGTTTAAATCAGATTAAGCATTTACGATGGTCTGTATCTAGGTTCACATACCGTTCTCAAAATTCCAGACGTAAAAAGAAAAAAAATAATTAAAATCTCCAAAATACATAATTCTGCGCTCATGGGTTCATTCCATGCTGCTGCGTCTGTTACGGTTGAGTTTTATTCAACCAGATTTAAGATCAAAAACATGAGAAAATGTTTGTCTTACCCTCATATAATATGTATTTAGCCTAGCAGATCGGTATGTACAAAAGAGGACATGTAAATCGAATATTTTGTGGTATGTTCATCAAAGGAATTAATTTTACACAATGCAAGAGTGAAATGGGAGAGATGTTTCTAGATGATTAAATACTGAACATTCATAATATTTCTTTGTATGAAGAAATAAATAAAAGTATATATTTTACCAAATCCTCTTGTGTCTGTTTGTTTTCTGTCTTGTGTTATTTATTCTTTTATTTTTTATTTTTTTAAGTATTATGATCTCTATGATGCCCAGTAAATGCACTAAATCTTTCTCAATTTGCCCTAGCATTTACACATAAATTGTTTATTTCTGGCTTTCTAATTAACTAGGGATGTAATAATAACTGAAATATTGTGTTATCGTATCGTCAAAAGTCTCTCAGTAATATCGTGGGATGACACAATATATTGAATTACAAGTTCCTTTGCTTAAATACATGGTTTTATAGTAGCAACAGTTTATAAACATCAGGAACTACATATCCCATGATTCATTTCAGTGCAGACAACATGAAGTTTTGTTTTTTACATGAATTCTTGGGATTATGACGGAAATGTATTTTAAAAGCAAAAAAAGTGTTGCATTGTCAAGTCTTTAATTACGGAATGCAGGTCCAACTTAAAAAACCAGGGACAAAGACACAAGGCTCAACTCAACTTGAAGATTTTTACTGGAATTGTTCATTTCCTTTAGTACAGGGGTGGGCAAACTTTTTGACTCAAGGGCCACAAAGGGTTTTAAAATTTGACGGAAGGGCCGGACCAGGAGCAGATGGATGGAGTTTTTTAGTAATCCACCTCATAAGAGAAAAAAATAACATGGGACATGTAGAAAATATCCCATGTTATTGAAATATCCCATAACTGAAAATCATTACAATGTATTACAACAAAATATCTCTCTTTCAGGTCCCATGATATTTACTATTTATTGAAAATACTTTGAAAAACACTGGATATTATCAAGTTCGGCGGGCCAGATTAGGAAGATTAAAGGGCCGCATATGACCCCCGGGCCGTAGAGATGCGCGGATGGGCTATTTTTTCATCCGCAACCGCGACACAAAACTCATCATCCGCCCGCTGTCCATTTTGCACCGAAGGTTTTCAAAACCGCACCCGCCCGCCATCCGCCGATTGATTTTAGATTTTAGAACAATCATACAGCAAACAAACTAAGGAGCCTCGATAAAAATGCAAACTCTGTATAGCTCATTCATTCCAAAATTCGCTCAGCGTGTATGTTCACATTCTTAATTGTCCGTAACAACCCCAAACTTGCCTGGTTTTCTTGCGCAGCTAATTAATTGACAACGTTTTCCGACTAGACTATTTTTGAACCTTCTTGCCTTCGTGTTGGATGTTGTTACATTCTGAACATTCTGCCATTGCCCGATGTTATTTCAAAGTCATAGCCTCACTCCATCGGTCTTTCTTTAAGTTTTAAATCCCCCGAGTGGCAGTCTACGCTATAATGTCTGTGTGTTTTAAAATATAACTGATATTGAAACAAAATAGACAGATCATCTCATCCAGATGAACCTTTATTGAAATCAGGCAATGAATGCCCTCTTTATATTCCAATTGAAATAGGCAAGAAAAAATATGCATAACTAAATAAATATGGCCCTATAGCCACTTACGTGTTGGCAAACAGCTGAAATAAATTAGAAATAATAAAATAAACTGCATATAATATGAGCCTCGTAAACCTTAGGCATCAATAACCCCGACACAACCTTAACCTTCAGAACATAAAAAATGAGGTCAAATGGGCTAATTAAGGATATGACGTACACTTCATACTACAAGCATAGACAATGAGACTCGTCTTTCCAGATGTAGGTAACAATACTAACATTATCTTTTTTTTTTTTTTTTTTTTTTTAAGTAGTTAAACCGCCACCCGCCCGAATTTAATTAAAATATAATTTTTCGTCACGTCATCCGCCCGACCCGCGGATTAACCGTGGATACCGCGGTTGTAACCGCAATCCGCGCATCTCTACCGGGCCGTAGCTTGCCCACCCCTGCTTTAGTAGTAGTAGTAGTGGTATTTGTAGCAGTAGCAGTAGCAGTAGCTAGGCTTTAGGCTGGGCTTTTTGACTTGACATGCATCTACAATTATATCAGCCTCTCCAAAATATCACAATAAATATCGTACTGAGATGCATATCGTGATAATATCGTACAGAGAGATTTGGATATTCCTTACTGATCTGAAGGACCTTTTCCAATTCAAAAGATACAATATTTTGATTTTAATTGCTTAATTGCTATGACAACGGAGAACGATAGCCGTAGCATTTTACCTAAATCTACTACACAAAACGTGATTAATTCAAGAGCTGAAGTTATCTTTGAGTTCTGGCCGATCAGAACAGGTGACACAGTGCAGTGTTGTGTGTCTGTGGTTGTAGCTAGGAGCAGATTTGTATATTGTTATTTTCCACCCCTGAGTGAAATGGGAGAGATGTTTCTAGATGATTAAATACTGAACATTCATAATATTTTTCTTTGTATGAAGAAATAAATAAAAGTATATATTTTACCCAATCCTCTTGTGTCTGTATGTTTTCTGTCTTGTATCATTTATAATAATAGAATAATTATAATATTTATAATTCACCAGAGCAGTCATGCCCACTTTTTGTCAGCCATTTTATGTCACATGGAGCACCTGACAAACAAACATGAAAGAAAACTGCCAACTTTTGCTCATGGATCTAAGAAGATGGACTTTTTTCATGCTGCACTCTACAGTTCACTCATGCAAGTTGGACAAAGAATCCCCCCAAACTGCAAGACATGGGCCTAAAGACAACTAATAAAGGTAAGGAAATGCTAGCTGGCACTGTTGCACTTCTTGGTACATGTCCATATTTCTATTTGCTGGTGTAAATCTGCTTGGTTAATTATGATAAGGCAGTTATTTACATATATAAAGCTGAACATGGCCTGTTTATGCAGCTGATAAAACGCATTAGTGTTGTAAATTTGACATGTGCTTTGATTTGGTGCGATAGACGTCCCTATTTATCCAGGACAGTCTCAGTTTTGAGCCCCGTGTCCCGTCCCAGCAGATTTATACAAACCAGTGATTTATCCCAGTTTTATTCAGAAAAATATCTCAGGTGTCCCTATTTTTGACCAATCTGATCCCTGCCAACTGTAAAGAGAGGCATAAATCATCATTTGTTTAGGTAAAATAGAGAAATCTGCTTAAAAATTACCAAAACACAAACAAAATGTGACTATAATGACTCACATTAGTGCCGAGTTCATAACAATTTCCCTTAATTATGCACTCGATTCACAGTTTTATTATTACCAACCAATCCAAACCAGGGATGTCCCAGTTTATTATTTTGAAAATCTAGTCACCCTAAGCTAGAAACATCTGCACCATTTAATATTTAATCATCCATCGGAGTTACAATTCTGCTGACTTTTGGCATACATCTTATCCAGAGTATGGGCTACCTTACAGGGATCTTCAGTGCTTTTTATTCCTTGACATTGCACAGTGAAGAACTAGTCATTTGACTTATAATAATTGTTATCGGTATACTGCTCTGCGATTGATTAATTTTACCATTCTAGGCTGAATAATGTTACTGGAAATTGGAAAAATAGTTGCAAAAGGAATGGAGCTGAACAGATCTGCCCACTTTGAAGCTTGCCAAGGTTCCTGGAGTAAATTTCCACTTTTTCCCAGAGACGTTTGGAAAAATTAAGATATTAAGTGCCGCAACTAATGCCCATGACATGCTTATTTCAGTCCAAAATCATCGGTGATTAGCTCCGAGCAAGCGTTCAGTTTTTATTTTGCTTTTATTTTTAGTCCATGACAATTAAGAGGAATTTTACTTCCTGAACCCTTGCTTTCATATACATATGGCAAAATCTTTTCATGCTTTTGACCATTTATAAACATGTATTATTCCGTTTGAGTCTGTGGTCTTTTTCACACATTTTGAGACATCAGGTTTGTCAAGTCTGTGTTTACATGTCTGTGGTTTCTCCTGTGACCTGCTCGTGCCGTGTGAAGTGTCAGTCTGGCTTCTGTGCAGCTCCTATTTTGGCAAATTTCTTGTTTGCCTTTTTCCTCTGGTCCTGGCCTGGCTCTGCTTGAAGTGGGGTGGCCCTCGCGGTTTCAGGTGTCCCGTAGCAGAGGGGGAGGGGTGGGTCTGCTCTTGCCATAGTGACGGAGGGTCCTGCCAGCTGATCGGAAATGCCCCACGCCCCCGTCCCAGTAAAAATGGAACCAATGTTTCCTCCGTGTCCCATAAGCAGATATACCTGCAGACCTGTTTGTTTACCGGGCTCCCAGACACCTCTGTGCATCAACAGGGCCCATTCACGTTATTGGAGGTGATGTGTTTACCAAAATGTCCGCGCATAGTTGTTGACAGAGACGGTGAGGTTTAGCATGTTGCAGAAAACAAAATATAGGTAAAAATACATCCATTCCACCTAAAAATGCAATATAATCTACTTATTGTTTTATTTTTAGATTTTTTTTTTAAGTATTATGATTAGGGATGTAACAATAACTCAAATATTATGATATCGTATCGTCAAAGTTCTCACAATAATATAGTCTCTTTGCTTAAATTAAGAGTTATGGATGCAGCAGTAGCTAAAAAAAGACAAAGGGAACTACATAGACCATGATCCTTTGCTCCATTTCAGTGTAGACTACAAGAAGAAATAACAGTTCTAAGCACTTTTAAGTCTTAGTTCTTTGGATTAAGTCTTGTCTAGGGGGTGTGCAAAAATATTGAAATATCGATATATCGTATCGTTTAATGTGATGATACAGTATGAATATTGTGAGCTGCTGTATTGATATATCGCCAAGAATATTTTTTGGCATATTTTACTTAATTATTTTGTTACAGTGCTACACTTTTGTTGCTTGTTAAGAGAAAGGAAACTTGTTTATGTGACACATTTGACATTTTCATTGTTTTCATTTTTAAGTGGTTTAACAAAGACTTTTAGTATCACAGCTATTATTTAGCCTTTATTTTTAATTGAACCGTATCGAATTGATTTGAAATATATCGTATCGAATCAAAAGTGCACTGTATAGAGGTATGTATCGTATTCTGGCCTATGT